ATATATATTTGGGATACAGGCTCAATATATTTTCAAATTTATAGGGTACACAATCAAAGTAGTTTGGAGGCCACTGGACTAAATTACTTGAATTTACCTCACTCTGCCCATAGTCTCTTTAATCTTAAATGAGAATAACTCAGAAGCTCCTGAAGCTTCTATGTAACTCTCTGCCACATTCCATCCTGCCTCGCATCCCAAGAAACCCTGCCAATGGACTCTACTCACAATCTTTCATCTTTGCCTTATTCTCTGGGGCAGCTATGCAGAGGAAAGGTTTAGCTACGAAACGCCTTCCAGATACTCCTAGTGGAAAATAATGTTATTTCCCATGGAAACAATGCTATTTAAGGTGGTCAGACTTTATACTACTAATTGTTAAGATATATGTGTGTATGCTTTTATGACTCATCTTAGAGATCTTAGTTTTAGAATATCACGTTTATAGGAATACCTGTTAAAATCGACTCTCAAACCAAACAAACAAAAAAATCAATTATAGAATGCAACCTCTTAAACAACAAACTGCTCGCATTTGACCTGATTCCAGATCATGATATACTAACAAAAGTTCTATTTAAATTGATTTTCTGCAGAAAACAGAGAGAGCACTAACTTTAACTGAGTCTTAAAGAATGGGTAAGATTTGGACAGATAAGAGGAAGATGTTCCAATTTTAAAAACTGTTTTCATGTAACTTTTGGGGTATATCTGTATAATTTCAAACAAATACTTTGTGCATTATTTATAGCTTTCTTACATCCTCCAGAATACTTCTCACTGTCCCACTCACCATCAAGCATGTATTCATGCTTTTAAATTCATTTTTTTGAATAGTTTTGAGAAAACAATACGATAAACAACTAAGATAAAATTGCTGTGTGAAATTAAAATGTATTCTAAAACCTAGTCTCAACTCTACTACATACTACCCGAGATTTAGAGCAAATCACGTGGTCTGAGTCTCAGTTTTCTACTCTACAGAGTGGGGATAGTAACAAATATGTGTCCTGATTAACCCTCGGGATTGTTGTATTAAAGGTAAAAAACATGTAAAAGTCTTTGGAAGGTTATAACCTTCCTTGTGGCCATGATGTTACTTTTTAAGGGTTCTGTTTGTTTCTCTGGCCACTTGTAAATGGCTGTGGAAATATAAGTTATATGCTCTCCTAAATCAATTTTGAAAAAATGTAGTACTACAAAAATTGGGTACTACCAACTTTTAGTGTACAACATAACTGAGTTGTTATTTAATAAAAAAAACTAAGTTACTGTTTAACGAATTTGGAAACGCCCAAGGTCCTCCTTATACTGTATACCATGGTTCCATCATTGAATCAGAATCTGCTGTGGCACTTGAAACAGATACCTAAACTCAATTCCAAACCTACTGGATCAGAATCTCCAGTGGTTGGGGCTGAACACCCTGATACTAAGAGTTCACAGGAGTTTCTCATGACTAAGAACCACTCGCTTCTATTCACCTCTTTTTCTGAAACGAAACTGAAAATCACTAAAATTGAACACTTTATGAAAGGAGTCACCCTCCTCCCCCAAAAAAGTTATTAATAGATAAGTGGTGCTGTTTCCCTGCAATAATCTAAATAATTAAGAACTGATAGTATGCCTTGGAAACTAATTTTACCACACATCAGCCTCCTTAGCCAACAGCTCCATCTACTGGACAAACCGGCAAAACTTTCCTATAATTTTAGAACAGATTTTGCTTAAAAATTAATTACGCTGTAAAATTAAAACATTAAAGGTATGCAAAACACCTTTGGTGGATATACTTTTTGCAGATGGATACTTTTTTGAACCTAGATAAAGGCAACATTCAGAACTTTTTAAATGGATCCATAGCTCAAATTCCTGAAAAACTGTATTACATTGATTTTTTTTTTCCTTTTCAATAATCATTTAAAATGCCCAGTGTGTTCTCAAGTTGACAAAAATGAGCATATCTGTTAAATAACTTTCCTCCTGGAAAAATCACAGAAATGGCAATATTAAAAGTACAAAAGGAATTAAATCCATAAAGGCTCTAAGATCAGGAAGGGGGATAGCACCAGACAGTTAATTTTGTAGAATTTCTAGAAGGCTAATAGTGGACATGATCATGCTGGCATATGGGCCACACCTCAGAGCATGCAAAGGAGATGAAACAGAGGTGGGAGCTTTTATCCCACAGTAGAATTGTGTACCTTTCTTCCCTAACAGGCAGCAGCAAACAGTAAGAAGGGCAGAATCTGAAGTGATTTTAGAATTAGAAAGAGAAGGAGCAATATTTATTAATAGAAGTTTTCAATGAACAAAGAGACAAAGAAACATAAGAAAAGTTGATGGACTCTTCCAATCTGAGAGCCCATCAAATATTTAGCAGGATGAATAAAACAAAACACATGCCACCCCTGTGAAATTCCAGAACTGTATGTAAATGAAAAATTCTAAAATATTCCAAATAGAGCAAACAGATTACCTACAGAGGCATAATAATCAGATTTCTTTTATTAAAAAAAATAAGCACTATTTACTTTTACTTAATCTGTTACTTACGTGAAAAAGTTTTTCTGTCTTTGGAAAAACGGCAACAATATCATACAGCCGGACCCTGGAAGAAGTTGCTCTCTAGTAATATAAAAAGAATGTTATCATATGGTGACAAAAACAATACACATAGAATTCTGCCTAATAGTGTAGCTGCACTCCTAATATGCCACTGATATTTTTGCTTTGCTTTGTATATTGGCAGAAAAGACCTTCTAAGCATATGAGAATTTAGATACCAACATCTATCCCACCAATCATTGTTACTCTTTAACTCTATACCAAACACTGCATTTGAGATACAAAAATGAAATTAGATAGCCCTTGTGTTTACAAGCTAGTGCAGGAGCTTGCCAGACATTTACTGAGTACATGCTGTGTGTGGGACACTCAGAATACAAAATCATTTAAGGCATATCTGTTCTTCATGGAATTCACCATTTTGTTGTGAGACAAGAAATACACATGACGATTGTGATGCAATTAGGTTCACAATGAAAACACAGTTATATACAAATTAAACTGTTACGTGTGCAGGAAAATACCTGAGAGTACAAGGACAGAAAGAGAAATATATCACTTAAAGACAAAGAATTATTTTTTAAAAAGATCACTTCAAACTTATATTGTATGTGCATGTATGTGACAAACTGGAAAAACATACATTCAAATGTATAATCTCTGAATAATGAGACATGTAATATTTCTTTTTTGTTTGCTGGCATCTTCTAAATTTTTACGACTTCTTATTTTGTAAAAAGAAAAGGCATATTAAACTTAGAAAAGGAAAGAGATTTAAAAGAAGCAGCAGGTGCTGTGCTTAAACAGGTAAGAGGGCGCCACTGGGTGGACCTGTGCTGAGAGAGGGCAGGCTCCAGGTCTTAGAGGAAGCCAGGATCCAGGATTCTTTGACCTCTGCTTGCCTACTCCCACTTGGGAAGGGGACAAAAAAGGGGACACCAGGATGTTCATGATAACAAGAGTAAACAGAATTCTGTAATCTATTAACAGTCAGCTTCATTTATGTCTACCTGGGCCTAGAGAACCAGAATGCTGCCTCGCAGATGTATAAAATACCAAAATTGGCTTTTCAGAATTTTTGAGCAATAACTGTTATAAAGGAAGCTAGCCTTTCATTGGTAACTCCTGTTCTATGATCGTGCAGTCCATTCTAACTAAAGGTAAAACAGGTCACCTCAGGTATCTCACCTCTCTCTCCCCTACTAGATTCTTCTCATTTTCAGCAGGCACAGTCAAGTCTCTTCCATCTAACAAAATCTATACAGCAGGTTATCATCCACCAACCTCATGCTTTGTTTCCCTATGAGGTCAAATTTCTCAAGTACAGTCAGCAGCGCGTACTGCATTTTCTCGCATTCCTATTTCCATAAAAATGATTTTTGCTACGGTAACCAATGGCTTCCCTGTCAACAGATCCAATAGACATTTTTTAGCCTTTCTCCTGCTTGACTACTCACTCAGGCACATTGATTCTGATGATCCTTCCTTCTTTTTCTCTTCTTGCTTTCCTCGTTTTTCTTCCTACTTCTTAGACAATCCCTCCTCAGCCTCCTCTACTTTATCATTGAATACTGAAATTTCCCAGGACTCTGTCCTAGGCCTCTTCCCACATCAGTCTTGGATCAGGGAGTCTGATCCAAGATTTCAATTACTCTCTACAGGGCAACCACTTCCAAGTCAGTATCTTTAACTGAGATCGCTCTTCTGAAGGCCATACCTTTCTTTCCAATTGCCATATGATAGGCTCCACCGGAATTGCACAATAACCCACCATGTCTCTAACACAATGTTCTCAAACCTGCTTCTCTTTGTATGTCCCAACTCAAGAAATGGTACTACCATCTACCTACCTGGCTGCTCAGGCTATGATAGAAAGTCATCATCCTATATCCAATCAACCATCAATTCTAACCAATCCTCCCACCTGCATGCCTCTCAAATCCCCTCCTTAACCCGCTTTGATCCAGACTCTATAATGTAGACCTCCCTTGGTTAAGCTCTTCAAGGGCTTCTAACTGCTCACCCAGACCACCCTTCTTAACCTCATGCCACGTTAGCTACTAGGCTCAGCCCTATTGGTGGTGTTTCATTTCCTAGAACACACCATGTTTTCTGTGGCTTCAGGACCTTTGCATAACATACCCTGTGGGAACACTGTATTTATATAACACTTACTGGCCCCTCTGCTACACACTCCCAGAGCACCCTTTATTTACTACTTTCACCTTTTTAAACATTCCTCACATTTTTAAAAGGACTGTGTCTGTATTACTCACAGCAGTATCCCCAGCACCCATCTTATATATGGTTCATGTGAGTTCAATGAATAATAGTTCCCCAAAGGTTCTTTAACTGTGGAATGCCTATACATATGTCATGAATAGAAGAGACTGTTATACTATGTGAATTCTGAAGACAGGGAGAGCAGGCCGGTGTCACTCACTGAGGGGGAGAATTGTAAGAATGAGGTGAGTTGAAAAATGACACTGTTCAACATTAACCAATGCAATTTACAAGGCCAAAAAGAAAGAAGATAATTAACTTACCAAAACATTGCAGTGAGATGGATCCGAAACAATAATTGTTAGTCTAGTTAAAATTTTTATTGGTCTTGATTTTCCCTATAATTAAAAACATGCAATCAAAAAAAGCACAAAATACAAATGATTGCATTTTCTCTTTACGAGTGCAAGTATTCATTAAAAGTTACCAACAATAACAGATAGTAAAGATGAGTAAAAACCAGTCGTCATTGTTAAAGTATTTATAATACAGTGAGAGAAAAAACATGTATGTATGCTAAAATACATAATGAGGTAATTTAAAGGTTATAGGACTTCGGTAAAGAAGAGCATCAAAGAACTACAGAATAGATAGTAAGAGAATCACGTAGCCTGAGGAAGAGCTGAGTCTTGATGGAAAGGTAAGACTGGTAGACAGAGGAAGGGACAGTGTAGACTAGAGAGCCACACGTATTACTGGGCGTTCTGCATTTAATGAGTAGATATTATGCTTCTTAAACAACAAAACACCTACCTGTACGATTGGCAAAGTTGTAAAGAGTTCAGAAACAGCTACTGGTTTTTCAATTTCCTACAATGAACAATAAACAGTCAGTCACCCTAGACTGTACATGTTAATGAGACAAAGCATAATGGAAAACTTAATAAGGGGTTTATAGAAAAGATAATTTAAAAAAAAAGATAATTAACAGTTTTTTTATAAAAAGGGACGAAGTCTGAAAAGCAGAGAAGCAGTTGTGAACATCAATGGATAGGAGAGATAAAAAATAGTTTTTAGACTGAAACAATCTGTAAGGTACAGTTAGTTGGTGGCCTAAAAGAAACAGATATATTTACTAGTATGTTTATGAAAGAAATCATTAGTTAAGGAGTCCACGACAGATAAAAAAAAGAAACATTGTTCAGTCAATAACAATGCAATTTTTAAGTTATTGAAAGCGACTGAATTAACATCAAACAACTTTAAGAATCTTCACCCCATGCTCTAGTACTTTGCAAAAAAAAACTGTCATTTGCACAAATATGCACCAACTAAATGGTTATATAAAATAAGAATAGTGCACAGTGCATTTAAAAAGAAATGCAAAGAAATATGCTCATCTGTAGCTTCCATATTACCAATGGAAACATAAATAATTATAAAAACTGGTTATTATTAACTTCAGAAATTTTACCTGTTTCTTATCCTTAAATTCAACGACATGATTGATAGCAACAACTGAATAGCCAACTGCAAAGAAAAAGTGAACATTCTTGTTAAATGCAACAACCTCTCTTTCCTATGCATATAAGCCCATCCCAATTCTTGATGTGAATAGGAGGAAGTTTGCAGAGTGATATGGGTACGGGATCTGGTGTCAGACACCTGCTTTCAAATCTAAGCATTACCACTTACAAGTTTTAGGTTCATCTGTCAAAATGGTGGTAATAACAGAATTTACCATATGCCTGCTATCATACTTAAATGAGATAATACATGTAGGATGGTTAGGACAGTGCCTGGCACAAAGTTAAGGCTATGTTTGACTGCTATGATGTATTATTAGCTTGATCTTAAACACCTTTAACTTTGTTTCTCCTTTCCAACCACCATTCTTTTTAATGTTCTTTTTTTTCATTTTCATCCCATCAACTTCATATGTTTTCATCATCACTTTTATTCTCACTCATTTCTTTTGCTTCTTAACCCTTTCTACTTCCTTCAGAAGCTCTTTTCCTAAGGAGAAATGGAGTAATGACTTCCTCACACTACTGTCCAATTTCCCTTTTGAGCTGCCAACCATCAAGACTGGGAACTCTTTGAAGCCAGGGCCTTGCTTTATCAGCCTCAACACAAAGCACTGTTTTGGACATTAGGACTACCAAAAACGTCTAAATCATGAATCCTATCTTTAAGTTATTTAAACATCAATAGGAGTGACAGGATACCAAAATATAATGCATGTTAATGCCAAAAGTGGTCCTCTTTCTCATCAGTTTGTCCAACTTCCTTCTTTCCTTCCTCTCTCAAATATTTATTGAGTATCCATTACTTGACAGACACCATGCTAGGTGTTGAGAATACAGAGACATCAGAAGATAAAAAGAGAAATTTGCCTGTACAGTACTTTGGGTTTCGCCTTTCACTCACTCAGTCAAATCAACCCTCCCCCTTACCCCCCCAACCACCATTCTTCTTTACTATAGTACCAAGTCTTCCTTAAGCTTTCCTGTTTTATTCACTTGGGATACCCTTTTGGGCACTAAACAATGTCCCCGCTGTCCTTCGGAAATGTTAACTAGACTCATATTCTCCATGAACTTTTCATAGACTACTCATCTGGCATCTTAGGAATACTTCCCCCAATCAATCTTTGGTGTAACTTTTATTTATGTAGCATATTTCTGAAACTTATCATTAGTTTATTATGTCACATAACTAAGAACCAGGGCTCTGTGTTCTTTAGTCTTTGAATACTTCCACTCACTAAATAGCAGTCTTTTACCTTTGACTTACAAGGGGGAGTGACTTTCTATTATGTCATGACTTTCATTTAATTTTCAGACAAAAAGACTGGGTGACAATGCATGCACATGCTCCTTTGAGCGTATTTTAAATTGGGCAATGGAAAGAGAGTCATTTCTCTACTGATAACTTCATAAAGGGGACAAAAAGAAATGATGTGATCCACTTTGCCAAGGAGTAGCTTTATCTAGCACCATCTCTGAAAAGCATCAGTACCAGCTCTCAGAGAGCTGAGAACTGAGAAATGATCTGTCTGCAGAAACCTCTTTATTTTTAAACTTTTCTATCCCCTCGTCTAAGGAAGAAAACAGCAGTCGTGATTAATTCCACTAATTAAAATAGGTTCTTATCTCTAAGGGCTTTCCCTTCCCCTGGATTCAAATATGATTGCCATTCTAGCATTTTGTCCATGCTGCTTCCTTCTCCTGCTCCTAGTACACCCTTCTCCACCTACCCTCCCTCTAAATAATATTATTCCAACACTCGCACCCCACGTTCCTGCCCTCTTCTATGAGCCCCCGGTACTCCCGGTCTGTACACCAGCTTTCCACATTTGCTTTGACACAGTCGTGAGAGGCAAAAAAGGGGTGCTCTTTAATAAAAGTGCTGGTGCAGGGGACTATGCTTGGAAGCCCTGCCTTCTGTCGTCCATCAGCTGTAAGGACTTAAGCAAATCCCTCATCTTCTCAGGGCCTCCGTTTCCTCAATTTGCAGGAAATAAGGAGCCAGACTGGGTAACAGCTCCCGGTGCCTTCGAGTTTCCCGCGCTCGGTGAACGAGCAAAACCGCGTTGGCCATCAGCTTCCAGGGACATTCCAGGGACATCCCAGAGACCGGAACGAGGCCCGGCCTTGCCAAGTCCCTCCCGAACGTGGTCCGACGGTCTAAGGGGGCAGCGAGGCTGGGCAGGCACCGCGGACCGCGAAGCCGGGGCGACTCACGGTGAGCAGCGTTCTCCACCAGCCCTCTCAATGCCTTCAAGTCGGAACTCGCTCTCAGGTCCAAATCTGCAAACACCGCCATGCTGAAGTCACAGGACCATCCGCACGGTAGTGTGCGCAGCTGCTGGGCCGGTTCCTGAAGCATGCTGGGAATTGTAGTTTGCTTGAGTAGTCTGTCTCTCGGCGGAGTATTTGCTTTAAGGTTCCCTGGCACTTGCTTTACTTTCAAGTACCAGCAAAAATTAGTATATTGAAACTCACAGCCTCACTTCAATCCTTTTTTTTTGTCTTCTTCTGAATGAGAATGTTTGGTTTCCCCCAGAGGCGTTCAAATCTCTCACCATTCCTCCTATAAAAGTATCGAAGATGATTCTTTCGAAATGCATCTATGTAGCATTTATTGAGCACCTACCATTAACCAGACACTTTTGCTAAAAGATGAAAATGCTTTTTAAAAGTCATAAAGAACCTATGTTTCTTTCCTTCCCCTAAAGTCCATTCTGCTGTTTAAAATGGGCTAATTGAGAAGAGGGAGAATCTGATCTGAAGACCTCGAGAGAGAAAAGAGGACTGCTCAAGAACAGCAATGTCTTTTTGCCCAAGCGGAATTTGAAGTGACGCAGCATGCTGCTCACTATCACATTTCGCATCTTCAAGCACAGTATGTTAGGGGTCTCCTTAGGGTGGCAGTTAGCTCCAACACTGGTTTAGCCAGAGACAGTTTTGATAAAGGAGATGCAAAATTGAGATGTTTTACAGTTTTCCAGCTGAGACATGTACAAGGTGGTGTCAATAAAAGTTCACTGTCACCAATCCAATGCCAACAAGAGTCCCAATCTGGGTACTGCGGAGAAACTTTACTCAGATAAACAGTTTGCATGGAGAAACACAGCCTCCTGAAGAAAACAAAAGTGGGCAAATGGGAGGCCCCCTTATAGGAAGTGCCGGCTCTGGTCCCTGACTAGTACATAATTATACAAATGAGGAATCCAAATTTACACAGTTTGATTGGTCAGAATCGTGCATTCTTATAGATGTATAGCTCTGATTGGTCAGTAAAATGCAAATGAAGATAATGCAAGTGCTTCATTGGTACAATACCAGAGACTCCTTTACAAGGGTTGAATCAAATGACAGGAATATATGCAGGAGGCTTGGCAACCCAGTTTGTGGTTTTTCCCTGAAATGAAATGTGCATGAGAGGTCTCTGTAAACAATGACTGCTAGATTCTGATTATGAATTTGGGCCCAGTTAACCACAAGGAGTCCTTTTTGACAGATATATTCCTTCTCAGGGTCAATAATGGTATGTATACTACACATTTAGTGTTTCTACATAAATGAACTCTTGAAGATCGATAAATCAATTCTCTGACAACATAAAATTGTGTAACTATAGTTTATATCAGTGCTTCTCAAACTGTGAGGAAGGGCCAGTTTTTCTCGGCCCCAATTCTTTCTGGACTAGTATGTGGTCCCTTGTTTGTTACCAGTTGGCAGCTGTGGCATCATAGACTAATATGACAACATTTGAGCTGCTTCTATACTTGGCTGAATGAGAAGAGTCCACTGATCGGGGGCTTGGATATCCAGACAATGCTGAAGTACTGTAAAAATTTCCAAGCATTTTCAATTTTTATACTTACTTATCACAAACAGTACACAGTCTCTGGGCCATTAATTAGTACTCTTTAATTAGTACTCCTTTACATGATTTCTTTGTTAGTCTCAGAAGGGAATTTTAAGAAAGGTCTGTTCCGTGTTGTAGCATGCAATTCTCCTTTTGGTTAAAGTTTATAAAGAAGTATTTTGCTTTTTACAATATTTGATAATAGTAAAAGCAGAAGAAATTTTTTACTTCTGCAAATAGAACAAAGTCATACAAAACAAATCTTTTGCTTTTCATCAGAAAATCCCACCAGGCCCCTGTCATCTGGCAGCTTAAAGCTGAGGTAGACAGGGCAAGGAAACAATATACATGATTTGCACAGGTGTGTCAGGAGAATCTGGTAGGGTCTCCCCTCCCAGATTGAGGAGGAAGTTTAAGAGATTTGGAGACGATAAAGGACGATTTCCTGGAGGATGCAATGCTTGAATTAAATTTTGATGCATGAAATCAAAGAGTAATAAGATGCAAAGATCTGGGGTGTATCTAGAACTGGCACAAAGTAGGTGGTATTTAGTCAAAAGTTTGCAGATTTAATAATTAAACTCATGACCTCTTGCTCATCTTCACATCCACACCAACAAAACTGTAGCACTGTTGGATACATTCAATTATCTAAACACATGGCAAAAAATTCACTGAACTGTGCATGTGGTGCACTTGCACGATATATTAACAACTTAAACAGAAATTCCTCTCTCGTTCCCAATGATAAAGCACTTATATAGGTGCTCCTGGGCAGATTAAAACAAGACACTCTTCCTCCAGGGAGACTTGCATTTGCCCATGTTCACCACATGCCTAGTAAGTTTGTACAATAAACCACCTGCTCAATTTTTCCCAGAGGCCCTGATAAAGCATACCAGAGGAGTTAGTTGCTAAGCCTAGAATTCTAATGGGATTCCATAGGATGTCACCAATCCAGGAAGCATCTCTGAATAATTCCTCCCTTGTCTTCTTGTCTTCCCCCAGAAACTCCCATAACTGAACCATAATATCATGAGAGTCTGTCCATATTCTGAGCTGGGATATTTTATTCCTGCTTGCAATGTTATGTTTTTTTCTAAAGTGCAATTAATATGAAAGTTAAAAAAAATTTTTGTTGCTGTGTTTCTATCAAAAGTTTGAAAAAGAAAGACAGATGGAGAAGGCTTGTATTACAAAAATCAGCATTGTGAAAATAAAGAGTATTCCTACCTCTTTAAGATGCAATACATGTTGTGACAAAAGAATAAACTTAAGAAGTCCTTATGAAAGAAACCAAAGGAAGAACTATGACTGGTATATGGAAAATATGTGCGTTAATAAACTTAATGAATGGAAAAAAAGAACTGAAATTTCAAGAGTTGGCTTTTTAATGCAAGTAATATCAGTGATTATATTAAGTCAGGGTTCTCCAGAGAACCAAGATTATATGTATATATCATATATGTGGTTATATACGATATATACATATATAATACATATGATACATATATGTATATGTATATCTATCTATCTATCTACCTATCTAGAGAGAGTGAGAGAGAGAAAGAGAGAGAAGTTGATTTTTAAAAAGGAGTTGGCTCACATGATTACAGTGTTATGGCGCGAACGATTCTGAGACCCACGGAGCCAATTGAGATTAATTATGAGCCTTTATTAGCCGGCCGGCGACTGACTCTCTACCACACAGGGCTAAAGGAGATCAGCCCCGAGCTTTCAGAGCAGGCAGCTGATAAAGCTTAAGACCATATCCTGGTGGTCTCCTGAACAAGCAAGCAGATTACAGAAGTGGAAGTTGGCTGTTAGCATATTTTTGCCCGGAACAACACCCTTAATTAACAAGTAAATGGATCATAGGAGTAGACATTGGCCATCTTCATATCTTATACAATACACTTCCTAAACCACACACAAGCAAGTAGGACAACTTCTGCTATCTAAAGATATTTCTTCCCTGTAGCTGACTTAGCTAGTTGGCTCACTTGAAAATTTTCTACCCTTAACAATAGAAGCTGACAAGTTCCAAGATCTGCAGCTCCTAAGCTGTGGACCTATGAGAGCTGATGGTGTAGTTTCAGTCTGAAGGCAGGCAGGTTCAAGATGCAGGAAGAGCTGGTATTTCAATTTAAATCTACTGACAGGAAAAAACCATTGTCCCAGCTTAAGGCAATCAGGCAAGAGGACTCCTGCCTTATTCAAAGAAAGGTCAAGCCCTTTTGTTTTATTCAAGCCTTCAACTGATTGGATGAAGCCCATCTATATTAGGGGAGGTTAACTTGCTTTACTCAGTCTACTGATTCAAATGCCAGTGTCATCAGAAGAAACCTCATATACACAGCTGGAATAATGTTTGACCAAATATCTGGTCACCCATGACAGTCAAGTTGACAGGTAAAATTAACCATCATAGTGATGCTGCTTTGAATCTGTTGCATTTTAAGTAGAAAAAAAAGATTGCTCAGGAGACTAAAACTTTTTATTGAAGTTAAGCTTACAATGAATATTTATTGAAGAGAAAGAATAGGTCCTAAACAGAAACTAGCATTTGCAAATGTAATAACTATAAATGTTACTGCTCAGTACATTGGGGATATAGCTTAAAACTCGCAGGATAAACTACATGAAAAAACTAAATTATTTCTGATATTTTCTATTGCAGCTGATAAGCAAGTAGATACATAAAAGCTATTTGTGTTGAGAATTTTGACTTGACTAAATATCTTTTGGAAATGGTGCCCCCAAATAAGCACACCATTAGGAAGTAGCTTATTTTTGTGTACAGAGAAGAATTTCGAGAATTTTAAAGTAGACTTGTCAGAATTGGTAACCCTGACTAACAGTGACTCCTGCAGGGGTCAGTGTTAATATCAAACTTACGCAAAATAAGAGTGTGTGATGAGATTTTGCCAAGACATGGAATTTTAGCCATTTGTGTGTGTGTGTGTACTATTGACTAGAAACTACTTTGAACTCTAAACTTTTTAAAACTATACAAAATAATAGCCATAGTAATTAACCATGCCCCTATACAGTTCATGCTCCAAATAACTATCAGATGCAGTAAATGCTGAGGAAGTTTTGGACTCTTGAAAGTTACTCATTTATAAAGCTTTCCATGGAAGTTCTCATTGTGGAATTTGTATTCACGAACAGATTCCCCACTAGGGGGTGTGCATGTACCATTCATATTTCAAATGGTTAGTATAAAAAATTGAGTCATTAAAAAAATAAACAAATGTTCTTGGATCTGTTATCTGATTTTCTAGTTATCTTTTTTAATAAAAAAAATTTAAAGGTCATATTTATTTTGTAAAGAGAATGAAAATGTTCTAAATGGAAGGACCCAAAGGAAAAAAGTACATTTTTACAGTTAGCATTAAGGGATAATATAAATGAAAGCAGCATAATGAAAAGATCCATGTATATAAATAAAAAAACAAAAGTCACAATTCACTTTTAAGTTGAGTAATTATTTTGAATCATGAATGACTCTTGGTTATAGGCTTTATTCTACATTAGATTTTTTTTTGACAAATGTTTATTGAACCCCTAGTATGTGGCAGGAATAAGAAAACATCCTCACCTTTGGGAAGTTCACAGTCTTAACAGAGAAAACAATCTCTGTAAACACAAAGCCTAATGCAATAGTAAGTGCTAAAGATCGGAAAAAAAACAAAAGCTTTAAGAGCCTAGAAAGGATGAGATTAGCTATGGTGAGGATTGTCAATGAGAAAGAGATATTCTTGTTTCCTAGACTAACTGCTTTTAACCCAAATGAGCCTTCCCAATATTTCTGCTGACAGATTTCAGTCCTTGTTGCTAAGATGTGTGTTCTGTCTCCATGCTTCTTCTGTTTTATAGCCTGACTGGCAGCCATAGGGTAATGTCTGGATATTTATATACAATAATCTTAGCACTACAATTGTCTAAGCATTCTGGTTTTCCTAGTCTCTTATCCAATTCTGGGGCCAAGGGACACCCAAACAATTAGTTTAGTTGAATGAGGCAGAGGGTATAAAAGTGAGCTGCTGAAAAACTTTGGAAGTCAGATGCCTTGTCATTAGAAATTACTAGAACCCCAGTCAGCATGACGTTAGTATGCTCAACTGACTAGTGAGTCGCTAATGAATCCTATGGCATAGAAAGCTTTATTTGACCTGTTACTTAAATAAATCTAGATTATCAAAGTATGCTATGGGAAAATAAACTCTCCTAAGCTTATATTCTATGGGTGGGTATGTGTGGTTCTGCATAGATATGATTAAGCATATACAGTTAGATGAGCTAGATGAGTACCTAGAGGGAAGAAGAGCTTATAAAAAGACATACTTCCTATTGTAGGACTCGGCTGCTCTTCTGTACTCCCCCAGAGCAGAGGGAGATTGCCAGTTGGGAGATTGCATTGCAGAGCTGTAGTCTCAGGTGCCCTCATTGACAATTTAATGAAAATGCTGTTATAGGCAATGAGAGTCTAGACAAGGTTCAGTATTTTTAAAGTAGCAGAGTTATTTTTCCAATGAAATAAATAAAAGGGATTAAAACCCCAAAACATAATTTGATTTAGATGCCAACATTTTTCTTATTACTTCCAGTAGAAGTGCCAAAGAGTAAGCAGGGGTGTGTGTATGTGTGAAGGAAGCAACAGCTTGATATGGATTTTTAAACACCAGGAAATCAAGGGCAAAACAAATAACAAATTTAGATGAACGTTTAGGTCTTTTACGAATATTTCGTGAAGCTGTATCTTTAGCTTTCCTTTGTGAGAAAATTATGGAAAAGTACACATGAGATTTTAGCATTTTTATGAAGATAAGATTATTTGTTAGTCAAGGTTGGAGGAAAACTTAAAGAATTCCAGATTGTTCTGCTGGCTTTTGGAATAATACAATGATAGATGAAATTTAAACTCAGTATAAGCAAGGTAATCCTGCAGAAGCTGAGATTTTCGATATCTATGTTTATGCATTGTGACAGCTTATAAATTGAAAACCAAGAACTCCTAGGAAATATACTTAGCCATCACCAGAGATAATATAATAGAGGTGACTGCTTTATAAAAAGGGGAGTTTGGATCTGATGCTATATTGAAATGAAAGAGGAAATGAATTTGAAAGTAGCATTTTACTGATTATTTGGAGAGTTTACATGTCCTACAATTAGAAAAAAAAAAAGCAAAAACAAAATTAGAAGCTGCTATGAAATAAAAGTGAGTCAGGTAAAGGCTAGTAAGAGTGTAGGTACAAATTATATAGCTGTAGATTCAAATAAAGATAAAACTATTGTTTTTCAAATTTTTGTGTAATTAACATGAAAGAGCCAAGACAATGTAAGCCGACCTGATTAGAATACTCAAGGAAAAAAATGAGAAAAATCTCAAGTATTTTGTGACATTTACTACCTCAAGGAATTTTTAAGGGGCCTGAGACAGTTCTAAACCTTAAAACTAAAAGCTGAGTCATTTCGCTATGATCTTAGACAAGTCACTAAACCTCTCTGAGTCTCTATTTCCCTCTCTGTATTGAACACTCAACGAATGGTTTCTTAAAGGCCCTCTAGCTACAAACTAGTTTTCTTTTGTCTGAAATTATGTTTAAAACTAACATAAGTTAGGCTGAAGAAATTTTCTCATCCACCTTTGTACTATTAAACAGTATTGCTTTGTGGCCTACATACTAACTTCTACTCTTCCTCTGACTCAATATATTGATCTGCTTATCCCAGGCAAAGGAGAGCCCCTGGCATTTTCATAATAATGAGAGAGCTGTGAACATTAGTCACCATTTAGGGATTTATATTTTTTCCTACTCAAATTTTTTTTAAATGTGTAAAGGGAAGAATATGGATATAGTAATAACAAAAACCTGCGTTGGAAACTTATTATATTACTTCTCAGCTGATAGCAATAGCAACTTTGTTTCCTTATCTGAAAAATAGGGCTAATACCACCTCGAAGAATGAGAGTATTAGTACTCAGATCAATACATTTTGAGGTTTCTGCCCTTTTCTTTTTATTTATAATCTGCTAGGGCCTAACTAGAAAAGAAAACAGATTCGATTATTTTTAGTTTTAAACTAAAGACATCACTGCTGGCTTCCAATAAAACCTTTAAAAATGAAGTGAAGTAAGTTTCACAAATAATAAAACAGCCACTCTGACGAGTTTGAATAACAAGGAGATTCTAGGTAGTAGGCATTAAATCAACATACACCTCCAGGATTCTTCTGCAGAACATTGTAACTGGTCATTTCTTCGCTTGTGTGCAAGATTTCCATAATACCATGGGAAAATTATCCCTCGTTTCAACATGTTAGGCTTTGAAGTCTGAATATAAAAGCAGCCAGGGTCTATTTCCAGAAAGAGAGGCCTGTTTCTAGACGCCTGGAGGGTTAGTCAGAATGAGTTTAAGACCCCTGGAGACCCCCTTTCCTTCAGTCCCGTTTCTCCTCGATGCCAGAACCTGAAGGCATCCCTCCCTCTCCCAGTTTTAATTTCTTCTTCTGAGTTCTCCTCCCCACCATCCCATTCGGGTGCTTTTCCATCTTCGCTTTTTCCCATAAGTGGTCAGATAGGAAACGGAAGTATCTATTTGTTTCTTGCTGTAGCGCTCGAAAAGGCTTTTTTAATTAAGGAAAATAACTCCTCTCCAGGTTCCTCATTTTGCAATGAGTCCGAACGTTCGCCAGCTCCCCAGTCCTCCCCCACCGAATTGGTCGTTTACTACTGTGAGGAGGTTCGGGTCTGTCGGAGGGGGGTCTGAGCCTCCCGCTGCAAAGAAAGACCTGCGAGCGAGCCGGCTTGGGATCCTGGGAGGCGCGTGGAGCGCCGCCCCCTGCCCTGTGGGGAGGCGGCAGCCCCCGCCCAA